GTCATGTGGAAGATCTGGAGATCAGTTTTGGAGCGTTTTTGGCATTTCTCCATTTGTCCCGTGGAGGAAATGAAGATTGATATTCCACGCCTTCTCCAGCTTCGGATTCGCATGGACTTCTTCCCATCCGATTCCATGCCCATCGATCTTTCCTTTCACGAAAATTCCGAATCGAATCCTGAATGTGAGGCAGGACCTTCCATACAGTGATCCTCCGGGACTTCGGAAGAGGAGACTCTGGGATAAATTTTCCCATTGCGAGCGACACCTTGCGGCGAATCGCCTACATAGCTTACATAGGCTACCCTGTACGTGCTTCTGTCCTTCGCTGCTTGTCACGACGAAGTGAAAAATGGAGAATATCCTCAGATTCTTTATTGGGATGGAAGACGATTCCGTGATGCTCTGATTCCATCGAATAGACAAGAAAAGGCAGAGGCGACCTGTTATTCGTAGGCGTATTGCCGTCTGAGAAATGAAATCCTTTCAAAAATGAAAGCGTGTAAAAGTATAATGAGTGGACCGAAAACATTTATTTGACTTATCAGCAAACTCAAGATCAAATTACTTTTCCATAACTAAAGAGTTTTTCTAGTTAAAGTTTTATTTGTGCGCTCTACACGGGGGTGGGCGCGCCATCCTGAATTAGAAACTATTATACATACTGGGTGCTTCATAATTATGAAACCGTTCATCTATCGGGATGGGTACATCTCGATGGGTGAGTGGGTACTCACCTGTAACATGTACTCATCCATATGGAAGGATGGGTACATGATTATGGATCACCCTGTATACATATATGTATTTGTATCTTAAGCTAAAATGTTGATAATATATATTTGATGGGAGTTCTTCCTAGTGAGTTTAGACAGTGAAGCATAATTTTTCCTTTCTTCTGCTCTTTTCTTATCGACCCTGGTATGTAAAAAGGTCTTACGGGCACGGATCTCCCACGGGTTGAACATTTCGTGATGTTTGGCTGGCTGTACACTGTTTTTCTGAGCATCACCTCATCCACTTCTACAGAACGCCTATCATAACACTCGTTTCCTGAAGGTTGCTTTGGATTGACATTTCTTCAGCCGATGTGCTTTTGTCACAGTTGGGAGGTCTAACGCTGCCCTCCGATTCGTGATGCGATGGTTCAATCAGAGGGCAGCAATGCCAAGATTCACTGCTTCAGTCCATCGAGATTGGCGTCAGCAGAGAAAGCAGCCACCAGTCGACCGATTCGCCAACCGCTGCACCGTCTCCTCCCCCAACTGGTTCTTAACCCTCCTATTCTGTTCGGGTCTATATGACCCGAAACACTCATTCAACCTGATGTAATTTCGATGAATGTTATCGAAAAAACCTGGAATTTTTTTTACTTTTCCTAACTTTTCGAATATATTTACGACCCCAAATCCTAACTCATTTCCATGAAGCATTACTGAAATATCTGTGATACCCTTTCCTGTTATGCTCGGGTCTATTTGATCTGATTGCGGTACTAGTGTATTCTTCCACATGCGTTACACAATCTTGGACCTTCTTGGAACAAGCTGGCGGAACACTTGACCTTGAGAAATGTGGTGATTCTCAAAGTGAAGTGTTCTGCCAGTTTTAGTGCAGTTCGGATTCAATCTGGTTCAGGCCACACGAGCCCATCCGGGTCGCCGCGTGACATACTGTTGCGTTATAACCTCTTGGAGCATTTTCGTCTCCCTGTCCTTTTTGCTGCTGTGTTAGCCTTGGCGTGTCTGATGTTTTTTGGAGACTGTATGACATGCACAATGGAAGTAGCCCATTTTTTTGTCCATGGAAAAAATGGAAATCTGAACTTTAGATATGGCAAGGAGAAAACTTAATTAGACATATTCCTGACGTGACACATGCACAGCGCTCAAAAGTTAGCTTGTAAGGTTTAAGCGGTGTTGACTTGTTCAGAAAAAGACAGATATAATTCCACCACAACTACTACGCAAGCATGCCCTACATTACCTTGTAACGTTTCTTTTGGACGCCAGTATATTTTATATGTTGGACATCTCAGCCTACAACGCGTATGTGCTGTGAACTACAAAAAATCCGAGATTGCATGAGAACAAACTCTTTAAATGAAGATTATTCTTAGAAGAATTGGGCACGCAGTTCGTTCGCCATTGCTGGAGACACAACATTTTCCACGCACACCGTCCTCGGCTACCGTCGTCACTGCTGCGCGACTGCCAAGGCCCTAGACTATGCAATGGTTCGAGTTCCTACGCTGGACCGAGTGCAACATGCAGGAAAAAAAGAGCCATATTTACATTTTTGTCCCTCCACAAATGACAACAAACACACATCAACTGTGCGTCGTGTGGAAAATATATTTGCAAGGCACACACAACGTACTTGTGCCCAAATTGCAAAGTCAATAATAAGTATTGGTTTGTCCTAATTGAAATTTTGGAAATCGGTTTTCGTTGCAACTTTTTGGAAATAACCTAGCGTTATCAATTGTTAGATATCCAAATTTAGCCCATAACATACTGAACTCATTTGTGATAGATCCTTTTGCGATAATAAATCATGAAGCTCCTAATAAACTTAAGCGCATTACTATTCAAGTCATAGGAAACGTATACTGGGTTAGGGTGACCCGAACGTAAATGGTGTACCTAAAATGGGAACATAGGAAAACTGTCTTGTTTGAACGTTGAGCAGGTCCGTGATCCCAGGGAGGTTCCTGCGAGACCCTCAGTTTTCAAAGGCTCTTCTCTCTCCCTGTCTCCCACTCTCACCTTTCCAAATTGTCGCCTTCTCGTTTGGGCTGCCCAAGGTGTTCTTTGACATGCCTGTATGCTCAACAAGATACACTACACTGATGCGATCGTCCTCTTCAAGCCTTTCGCAGATATCTATGGAATTTCAGATCTGGCATGTTAGGAACAAATGTCTCCATGACTCATGCGTGGGATGAAGGAGGGGAAGCCCCAGACTGCTTCCAGCCTCTCGGCCAATTGAGAACTTTTGTCTATAAAGTTACGAGTAGATAAGTCTTAATGCATTTTATCTGTTACGATTCATTTGGATAATAGAATGCTGAATTTGTACGAGGTGCGTTCAAGTTCTAAGGTCTCCTAATTTTTTTTCTGACAAACTACTTACACCAGAAAGTTGAAACTTCTGTCACTTCTCAACATAATCTCCCTGTAGACGAACACATTTTTCACAACGTCGACGCCATGACTCCATGGCTGCCGCGAACGCTTCTTTAGGGGTCTGTTTTGCCCACTCTACAAGAACCCTGTGCGCTGTACGGTGCTGCCATCTCGTTCATGCATAAACAAAGAGTACCCGCGTATTTTAAGCTCAAACGCATGTTTCTTTCTGCACCCGGTCCCCAGAAAATAATTAGGAGACCTTAGAACTTGAACGCACCTCGTATGTTTTCACGGTAGGGACTGTTGTTTCAGGATACCTTTCCAAGAAAGGGAGATTCTATTCGCAAGGCTCTGATTTCCCCCCTGCTTCTGATTAACTTACCGAAAAAAGACGAAGGTAAATCTTTGAGTCTCCTCGAAGTCGACTCGAAGAAGTGAGACTCGCGTACGTGAGGAAGGCAACCCTCGTTGGCGCTTGCGTCTTCCCTCCCTTTTCCTTTCATTCCTTGTCCCTTTTTCAAAAAACCAGAGTGAAATCTTGAAATGTGGACGTTGCGATTCCGACTATGAACGATTGGCTGCTACGTCAACAAGATCATGATCTACGAGGGTATGTCAGGCAGAGTTTTAGTTCTACCTATTCCCCCGAAATGACGGTCGACAGCGGCAACGTAGTGTTAAATAGGGTTCGATCCGAATAGTCTCTTCATCTCTCCTGCTATACTCGTATAATCGAATGAGCTAAGGCTGAAACTTTCTGCACCTCTTTTTCAATAGATTCTCTCCAAAAACTTGAAAACTTGAACTCTTTTTCTTCCAAATAAATATTCTTTTTTTTTCTGGTCAAAATATTCGTTTCGCTCGAGTTCGCCCACCTCTTTCTCTGTCGATTGAATTCCACTTGTGGAATGCTTAATTGTGCCTGAAAGGTGGAAATGATATATTTTCCACCGTAATCTCGCAATTGCAACGCGACACTTTTCGCTGAAGCGGCATTGGGCGGTGTTTTTGTTATTGTCTCTGTCAGATGAGATGAGCATTGCCCTAAGCGCAACCAATTGTTGGATTTCGCGTCTGTAGAAGCGATGTGGCTCTCCTCGTTCATCCATCGCTGTATGTGTAAGAGGGATGTGAATCCTGGGGAATGAAACATTTCCCCCTCCCCCTGCTTGCATTTCATCGCCGAGAAATGTTCCTACACTTTTGCACAAGAGGAAAGAAATTCGGTCTCAGAACGATGATAAAAATTTCAAGATTTGGAGAGAAATCATTTTCAGAGGGAAGTGTACTTTCCACCGAAGAAAGGCAAATAATGAATAATGAAACGCAATTACTGCGTTGAAAGCAGGAGAAGGAGCAGCACAGAAAGGTTTTTGACTGGATTTGTGTAAGGCCGAATAGTATTGAAGAGAGAAAAAACAAGTCTCATCGTTACTTGAATCCCTTGAGCCCCTCACCGAATTCTGTAAACTATTAATATTTAATGGCTCGAGTGCGAACCATGATTTTCTTTTTTACAGTGTTTTGTCTAGCTCGATGGTGTTTAATATCTACGACGCCCTGTCCCTTTGCCCCTTGCCTTCTCTCGTGATGGAAGATGTTAAGACGAAATGTGGAGATATTTAGGAGATTCGTCGAAGATGTATTCGTGAGAAGCCGGAGGAAGGTGCCAGCGCTCCAAGGAAGCCAGATGTGTGTCGGAAGAGGGGGACCGAAGGGGACCCATCACGTGTAATCCCATTCATTTCCATTACGTCTTTCCTCCCTGCGGTCACGTTCCTCGAAACATGGAAGCCATATCGCTGATGCCTAGATATAGTACTTCATCCGGGTTCCGATGTTTTTCAATTCGCGATCGCCGTTCACACCATGAGGTTCTTCGCGTGGATCAGGTGCAAAACCGAGTACAGAAGTGTCGCTCTGCTCGGAGGGATTTGGGCCATCTCTTGCCTTCCTCTGCTCTCAGGCTCTCACATCACTTTGTTCCATATCCTCAAGGAGATCGAAGACTTCCAAGGTCAGGCTTTTTCTTTCTCATTTGTATTTTTTTTTAAGTTAAGAAAAACTTTTACGCCTTGGTAAAAAAAAAACAAAGCCGATTCTTGTTCTCCTCATCTCTATCGGTCTATTCATCCATAGTCACATTCGGCCGCAGTCCCCAGTTACAAAGGTTCAAGATTATGCCGTTTCAGCTCCGGCTCTGTCGAGAGACGCGTACAACACAAACAAGTTGTAGGCTACTTGTTTTCACTTCGGGGGAGGTTCATGCAACTTGCTACCTTCCTCAAGCGAAGAAGAGAAACACTGCTAAAGTGTTTTTTCTAAAGCTCTTTTTTTTTCTTTCTGGCGCCCATTAAGGACGTGCGAGCACCTCATACGCCATTTTTGCGCCAGGAACAATCAACAAAATGTGTAGATTTCCAAATCATGTTTAAATATTTTACAATATATTACTGTACATTTATGTTGCATGACAAAAAATGCCGAGTAATGTCAATGTGAGTTTTTTTGGTGCCCATTTTGCGTATGAGCATTAGAAAAGTGCTTAAAACATCAGAGGGTGAGAGTGAATTGAAATTCCAAGAAGACAATTGAAGAGACGTGATTCGTGACTCTCTCTTCCTTCTTTTTTTCCTTCGCTTCCCCTCTTAGTATTCATAATGCAGTGGCGGCTCGTGATATGCAGCAGTAGTAGTTCTTGGATGGAGACAGGGAAGGGCGGGCTCCTCTATCTCCACTGGCTGATCACTACTGAGCATATCACAAACTGTCACTGCCATAATGGCACTCGAATCCTCTTTCGAAGCAATCAAAATGTAATCAAGGTGCATGGGAATCCGATGAGGATCTCGTCTATCGGTTTCTCTGAAGCATACTTGACTTCCTGAAGCAAGAAAATATTAATGTCTGTTGGTACTTTTCTCTGCTCCGAAGGAAAAAATCCCCAAGAGTGGAACCATACTTTCCTTAGGTTGGAAATCCATTTCCCATCGATATAATAAGTATTGCCCATTCGGCAGAGCGCTCCACCGTATTAACCAAGACGTTTCTCGTCCACCGAACCTAGTTTTCATCGTGGCAGTAGTTGAGAAGATGGTCAGGGAAGAGCAAAGGGAGGGAGAAAATAATTTCGACTCGGAATGTCTCCGGATTCTCAAGGTTTGATCATTCTCGCACCGCATCTGCATTCGAAGATGAATAGGAAAAAATCGGAATCCTGTTACGTCGGACGGATTACCTTCGTGTGACATGGGGAGGGGAGGGGGGAGTCATGCAAACCTGTAATACGTAATCGCTCTCTCAGGGTTTCATGAGGCTCCTGGTCTCTTTCTTACGGAGACTCGTGTCCTTAAGTCTATGCTGAAGACAGGTTAGCAAGGGGTCACAGAGGGTTCGTGGACTCGCACACATTTCCCATCCTGTCTATGCTGCCATTTCCCGTCCTATCCTGATTCAAATTTCAACTCAAACGCGGACACTCCCTCACATTTTGTCAAGTCTAGCCTTGGTTTGCCATGGAGCTATGGTTAATCCGGTCTCAATGATACATTAAGTTTCATGCATGATATTTGAATGCGAATTCGTCTGTGGCCGTGTCTCTGTGTGCGCCTTGCGTATGAAGGGGTACCTAACTGGCAGATCTAAGTGAGGTCTTGTTATTTTTTCATTAAAACGAGCACCATTATTGAAACGAGTCTCAATTGGCAATTGTTATGGTAACTGTCACATGTACGTAAAAGAGTCAGAAGTTCTTCCCGGGATGAATCACGAGAGTTATCTGGGACGATACACCTTCTCGTTATAGAGAATCCTCTGTATCCCTATATTCCTTATTGACTTGTTCCTCCTTCACTTCTAGTCTTCCTTCAGAACGTCTCTGTGGCTCAACGTGAAAAAAAATTTCTTCTCTCACCAAAATATATCAGGGTCAACATAGTGGACGACTGAAACGATCTCGTAAACGTTCACGCATAGGGAATGAACTGTGACGATAGCCAAGCAGCTGAGCCTCTCCTCCCTCCATATCATTATGGCCAGTTGGATCCATTGGTTATAGGTTACTCTTGTCTGCTTCCAGGTCAGGGAGTGGAGCCGATCGACGCGACCGGAGGCAAAAGCTCGGCACTCTTAGGGGTCAGAATCGTCTTCCGTTTCTCGTTCGTCCTGCCGATTTCCTCACGAAACTTTTAATCGATTTCCTTATTTTCAATGCAGATCGTGGGTCGGCGGCGCCCAAATTGCGCATCTCAAGGAAGTTGCTCCTGCTTCAGCCGAGTGTTGAGGAAATGGTTCTGCTGCGACTGCCTTTCCGGTCCCTGTTTTCCTGGCTCTTCTACAGTCCAATTGGAATCTGGAGATCTCATCCCCATGGCTCACCTCTCAATCGGCTCTCGCGTCCTCGCAGGTCGGTCAACTCCACCCCTTTCAGTTTCTCGTCTCACCCTTCATCGTCGTTAAATCACGTCTGGAGTCGTTTCCACTTGCACTTCTCTAGGCTAAACCTATCTTCTCCAAAGTTCTTTTCCAATTTCCTCGACCAAAAACAAAAGAAGTAATCCCTTTTTTTAATTATAGATTTTAACTTGGAACAGAAGCAAAAGAAAAGCAAAACCATAAAAAAATACTCTGGCTTTCCATCGAGTATACCTCCTGTGTTCTGTTCTCGATTGAATTTCTTCTGGTTTTAGTCTCCTAATGTCAAGCGCTACTTCTACGTCCTCGTACTCGTTGTCGCTTCACCTGATCTTCATAAATGTGGAAATGGTCCCAACAGGCCGTGATGAGGGAGGAGAAGACAAGTACAGCCGAGTTGTGATGTTTTTCGACCGAAGGCCGAAGGAGATTGCGGAATATTTTTCCTTCACCACCCTGACAAATCACACGATTCACATCTCGGCCAGTCATCTCATCTACACCAAAGAAGGATCTCACGATCCTCTCGCCACCAAGTGAGTACCAAAAAAAAACAGAAATTCACTCGTACTGGGTGCTTGAGAACGACGTGAAAGTTTTGAGACGCCACGGGATGAAGTTCCTTCCGAAGATAAGGCAGACGCGTTGAACGCGTTAGGTGAAGATGTCCCGTCCCTTCTGTCGATAACTTTAAGGAGAGGTCGAGCACTATCATAAACGAATCATGAAAATGAAAGAAAATAGAGGAATGCGGCTGTAAATAACTACGCAGTAGATGTACACGATCCTACGCCCAATTATCACGAGAGGAGTAGCTGGATTCGGGAAGACGATGTTCTACGCATCCGGACCAAAACCCTGAACCTTGAGCTTTCGGATGAAACAATTACTCATTAGAGGGGAAGAAAGGATGAGAGAAACTCTTTAATGGGAAGACTTTTAGATAAAGCCTTCGATCGTGTACGCAGGTCTTTTAACTATGATATTTATTAGAAGGTAAGCGATCCTAGCCCTGCATTCCATTCAGATGCTATTGCCATAACGAGGCAATTCTCTCTTTCTTTTGGTTTCAGTTTATTCAGTCGTTGATCTCAACGGTCAATAGCTTAGGCTGGAGTGTGCTGCACAGGCTGCACAGGGCGACAGATGCAAGATATTTTTGGCTCTATCTAAGGGAACTGGCTTTGCAGTGCCCTCTTCCCTCAAGCATAGAACGAGAAGAAATTTGTGGATTGGCCCTTTTCCAAAACTTCCAGCTGAAGCTTCAGATCCCTGAAAGAAGTGATATTTGCGAACCGTAAAACCGAGCGCTTGTTTCTCGATTCATCGTCGCATGTGCACCGAAGAAATACATAGAATTCGTTTATGGAAGAGGACGGAAGGGATTAACTGCAGAGCTAATGGAGTAACACCAGTCGGGCTTACGTTGAGTATCGAGCAGGGTTGGGAGCCAAAGAACGCAGCGGCTTAGGTTTCATGATCGTGGAATCCGACAGCACGAGACAAACGAGCACCATCTCTCCTTTTTTTCTAGGTATGCGTGGGAAGTGGAAGAAAAGGAATATCTTTCGGTGAAAGAGGTGGATGGGAATAGGAGATGGAAGGAATCCCCCGTCGTCCTCATCGGTTCACACCTCCAACAAGGTCTCTTTCCATTTTCCTATTGAGCCTATCTGGTAAACGTTCTGGTATGCGAATCCATCAGCGGATATCGTGATCCACGGCCATCAGTCGGAGGCTTTGCCTCTTGGACGACCTTTCCTCTCCCCCCCCCTTCGTCCTTGCATCTCGCACATTCATCTCGGTCGTTTAATAACGGTCTTTTTTTGTGCCGTGTGGTGTAATCGATCGACTCCATAACACAATAATTCATCTCGGAAGAGACATTTGATGTCTCCATGAGCAATTCCACGTTCTCATGGGTCATACACCAGGATGTTGTTTGTCGGAACTGGAATTTGCCGTGAATACCCTCACATTCCCCAGTGTACTTTTTTTTATTATAAAACAACAATTATATTATTTCAATTTGTTTTAGTATTTATTTTGCGCATCAATGAGTTCGCCGGAGTCTCCTCCATTTTACACATACACTCTTAGCTATGTTACTCTGAAAATGGAGTAACAAAATCTTGTAATATTTTACTCTTGGATACCGGTAGGAGTAACCTACGGAGTAACGTATTGGAAAATTGCATCCAATCGGCAGTAAACTCATAGGCAGGCAAAATATAAAAAAAAAACATTGTCATCTTCTGCTGGCGTACGAGATAGAAGACAATTATTTCGTTTTCGTCGTGTGCAGGGGCGTACGTGCCGATCACGGAGGACGGCTCCATTGTCGTGGACGGGATTCTCGCGTCATGCTACGCCTCCTTCCCTCATCGCTTGAGCCACTTGGCCTCGATCCCCGCTCGGTGGATCCCGGAAGCCTGGATACCCTTCTACGTGCAGACTCTGAAGGCCCTGGGGAATCTCATGTCGTGGGATCAAACCCCGGGGATGAAGATGGGTGCGATTCGCCGAGTGCCAACCGGTCGTCGGATCCTCGATTCCATTCATTCTCCGTCTCTCCGGTTCCTTCTCCTCTCTCTCACCACCCTCTGAATCAAGATCACCTATTTCACCCTTCGCACAAGTCCAATGCTGCAACCGTGGAAAATCAAATATATCTCTCTTCGTCGAAACGATCTATTCATTTTCGAAGAACCTAGTCCATAAGTGAATTTGAAAGGATGAATGCGAATGAACTGTTTTTCCATTGAGGTTTTACCGCGACGGTGCATGGGCTTCAGTAAACTGAACTCATCGAACACGGGAAGTTTATCCGTCGATAAGAACTAGGTTCCTGCTGGTATAATAAATAATATAAGAGAGCCACAAAGAGCCCCATAACAGAGCCGCTCACTCCATTGTACTCTGCTCGAGTGGCAACTCCGCTGGACACATCTTCCTTTTACTCCACCACTTAACCGTCTTTCTTCCTTGGACTATCATGGTGGAAGGGCGAAAAAGGGCAAGAGGTTTGGACCAAAAATCATTAACTGATCATCGTTAAAAGATCACAATGAGAACGTGGCCTAACGTTTATAAGCCTAGTTTACGAGTGGTTCTTACATCATAAATAATCGATGAAAGAATAGCTGAGATACGTGCTGCGTCGCCCAGGCCGCTTGAAAAAAGCGTCTTCCTGTAAGGAAGAAGCCCGAGTTCCGATTTCACCTTGAGCTCCACCTTAGAAGACGACTAAAGGATTCCGGCCTGCAATACACCTTCTCTTCCATTCAGGCAAAGTTTCAAAGCCTTTGAAGAATGACTAACTTTCGTGTGTACTCAATGAGGGCAGACGAAGCAGGGCGGGGGGGGGGGGGGGGGGGGGGGGGGGGGG